TCTATTCCGGTTCCTTCACTTATTGTTAGTGTTGTATCAATACGCAAACGGCATTACTATTAGTTCTTATCCCCCCCCACAAAAAAAAAAAAATACCCACAAGAGATTGATACACGGATTATTGAAAAACAAAATATCCATTTAATCGTAAAATTTTTTATTTCATTCTGCATTTTGTTTTTGTTTCGTTTTACTTCGTTTCGTTTCATTCCGTTTCGTTTCGTTTCGTTTCGTTTCGTTTGTCAAGTATGCACGTACGTCAAATTTTCAAGGTTATATATGTATACCTTTCCTTCATGTCTCCTCGAAAATTCATTACGAATGTTTATTTCAAAGATTCTCTTCCGCATTTCGTTGTTGACATTCATTCGAATTACTTTTGGCAAGAAACGTAAATTGTTTCTTTATTGGTCACATTCCATTCTCTTAGAATACGTATAAAGCGCGTAACACGTATGTAACTACTTACGTAGAATTAATACGTATTAATTTGACTAACGTAGTACGTCTAATACGTATATGTACATATGTATATGTATATAAAAACATAAAGAACATTTTTTTTTATTTCAGTCATACGTGATACATAATAAATTTTTTATTCGTTGGCAATGATAGACGATTTCTTTAATTGCTTTCAATGTATTTTAAACGTTCGTACGTTTTATAACTTCAAAGAAAAAGGTTATAACATCAAAGAAAAAGGTTATGTCGCATATTAAAAATATTGATAAATATATTTTTCTATTCGAAGTATGAGATGTAAATGATCATTTCGATGAAAGAATTTCAATTAATTTCATGAACGAATTTCTACCTACATCGTACTTCTCGTTGTTTCTTCATCTTCGTTCTAACAACAATCAGGATTGCCAATATATTTTCAAGAATTATCTTACGCCATGGAATCTCATTTTTAAACGTTGGCAAGATTGTTTAACAATCAACACGGACATTGGTTCATTTTTAAAGATCATTTTCAAATTGATATGTTATTGAACAATTTTGTTATGATCAATTTAATGATATGTTTATCGATGTGTTTTAAAAAATAGATTAACAAAATGTCCGGAGCAATGAGACAATTGGAAGAACGTCAATTACCAGCTGAGGTTACCATAATGAGATGGTCACCTAAAATGGATTTGTTAGCTGTTGCTAATGTCAAGGGTTAAGATTTGTTATATTATCATTGGATCAAATAAAATTAAATTTGATTTTTATTATGTGACAATGAATATATTTATCTATGAGAATTATTTTAGGTGAGGTTGCGTTACATAGATTAACGTGGCAAAGGGTATGGTTATTGAGTCCACAAAATGAATCAGATACATCAGTAAATTTAGCATGGAGACCAAATGGAAAATTACTTGCCGTTTGTTATATCTCATCGAATTTATTCTGTCTCGTTGACATAGAGAATAAAAACATTATATACAAAGTACAATTGTCATCGCAAAATACTATAACAAGTATAACGTGGTTACCATTGATGAATGCGGATTGCGATAATTTTGCCAATAATAAAAGTAATATTTCACCTACCGGTAATTATCTTCCTTCATTGCCCTGCTTGAATAGAAATTTTGGTCAAGAATCTGAACGCAAGGAACTCTTATCTCAGGCCTTAGACGTATTGTTTGTAAGTTGATGGTTAAAATTTTTTTTAATAATAATTAATAACTAATAATAATAATAATAATGTGCAAAGAGTTATTATTGACAAGTTTAATTGAAATCTTTTAATTAGCTTGGCAAGGATAATGGTACTGTAGTGATGTATGTATTTGGAATGTTTTATTGTGGAGATATAGTCGTGGGAAACGGATCAATTATTGAAATAAGCGGTGGATCTGGTAGACCAATATGGATTACTTGGAAAGATAACAATGGCATTATAGTTAACAGATATTCATGTTCATTGATTGAAAAAAGTTCTGCATTTTTAAAGGTCAGAATATTAATTTATCAAAGAGTTTTTCATCTTTACAATTTACTAGTTTTACAATTTACTATTAGGAATAATTAGGAATTATTTATTATCTATTTATTAGGTAGCTCAAGCTCAAGCAAACATAGAATGTTTGATGGATTATCTATCGCGTACTTTAATGGCTATTTCTGAAGCTTGGGAAACAATTCTTTCAGAGATGGATGATAAACTCGCACGATACGCTGAAAGTAATCCACCTGGTGCAGTGGCTGCAGATTTTTTAGAATTATTGATGATTGGTATACCGACACAAAATTTAGAGAACTTTTTATTGCGTGATTTAACTGAGAAAGGTCTGAAAAAATTAGGTCACAGTATCGAGATGTGTTATAGTAATATACAGGTTGGATATATTAATTCAAAAATATCTTTGAAATTATATATATATATATATATATATATATATATATATATACGGTATAATGATAAATTCTAAATTTCTATAGAAATTGGTTGTGAAAAATTTGAACAGCGTAGGAATGGCATTAGTATATCAATTAGCTGAAATCCGTGGTATGGTTAGATTAGGTGGACCTTATGAATCTCTTGGTTTAAAAAATGAAAGTCTCATAACAAAAGCTCTTCATGCGTCAGAAGCTTTTTTAGCTAAGGCCTCTGAAATGCAACAAGTGATAGATCATAGCATGAGAGATTACAAAGCATTTTTTAGGTAAAAATCTCTTCAAAATTCTATCTCTTAAAGGATAATTTATTTATTATATTATAATGATTTTTATTATTTATATATATATATATATTTTTTTTTTTTTTTTAAGGTGGTTATACGTAGAGATTCAAAGATTAACAGACGAAAGGATACCGTCTGAAGTAAGTCGTATGAGCCAACAGGAATTAATATTTATCGCTGAATTTCTTAAAGGATTTGATAAAATTGAATCGAGCACTGGCAGTAGAAAAGGTGTAAATTTAGAAAAATTAGGACAATATTTACGTCACGAGCCATTACAAACTTGTTTAACACCAGAAGGAAGTGAATGGGCATCCATGTTAAATGAGAATCATTGTCTTCGTGATCATTCTCTTATAATGAAACAAGATTTGAATTTTTCATTGTTACAATCTCATGAGAAATTAGTTAATGCCATACGTGATGTTTTTGCAGTAGCATATGAGGATTTGGTCAATCATTTTAAAATATTACAAACATCATTAATACCATCTACGAGCGTTTTATCTTCTCAAATAGTAACGAACGATGGTAATTTGTTAATAGCCAGTTCCGATATTGAACGTAAATTTTTACGTCTCTTTCAAGTTGAACCATTGTTAACGAATACATCATCCGTTTCATTATACTTTAAATCAGCTATAATAGATGTCGATAACAAGCAAGGTTGGTCGTTATAAAATATTTTCAAATAAAAATTATATTACTTGTTAACGTTAATTATTGTATAAACTTAACAGTAATATTGATTCTTTTTTTTTTTTTCTTTTCTTTTCGTTTCTTTTATAGGATCCTTTTCGAAAAATTCAATCGACAATGCTATAGCCGATTTACAATTTTATTCGCAAGATTATCTTAGTTTACTTTTATTGAACAAACAAAATTATGCATCGACTCTTTTGCAATTACCATCGAGTCATGTCAAATTGTTAGATCATCAAAGTCAATCTTCATTATGTTTAACCGATGTTATGGGTGCAATATGGCCAAGACCATTTCAAGGTATATCTGCTAGACGATTGGCAGTTAGTGGTGCACGAAAAGTAGCGGCAATTCTTAATGAAAATAATAGAAAAATACGTTTGCTTGAAACTGAAATTGAACCGGATGATGAGGATGACGACGATGACGATGGAATTGACGATGGTATGATGGATACAACACCTAGTATAAATGCAAGTACCACGTGAAAATACATATTATCCAATTTGTTTGTATGTTTCATTGAAAAAGAAAGAAAGAAAGAAAGAGACAAACAGAAAAGAAAAGAGAAAAAAAAAAGAAAAACATATATTTACCAATTAATAATAATCAAAGTCTACAAAAGTAACAATAAAGAATTTAATAATTATTCTATTTGGTTCTAAAATTAATAAAACGATTTATTCTTGTATATATAATAACACTTTTTTTTTTTTTGTTTTTCTTTTTGGATTGCACAAGTTCTATCACAATTTATATATAAATTATAATTTCTCTATATTCATCATAGGTATCACAATTTGATACTGACATAAAATTGCTTTAAGTTTCTTCCCCTTTGCTTTCCCCTTTTTATGAAAGTTTTATTTTTTTTTTCTTTTTTCTTTTTTTTTTCTAATGTTTAAGAAACACATATAGGGTTCCATAAATCCTTATGGTAATCCTTGATTCTTTTGCATTTGGTTAAATACTTTGGGAAAGTCAATATCAAGAGGATTTTCAATTCCGCCATCATCAACTTCTTGAGTGGGTATGGCAGGTGCTGTATTTATAATGTTTCCTCTAAATCTTGCTGGTGAATTTTCTCTTGATTCATCCAAATCTATAAAAATCTTTGTCGTAAGTAATTCATAAAAAAAGAAAAAAAAAGAAAAAAAAAAAAAAAGAAAAAAGAAAATAACAATGCATATTATTTGATCATTATAATAGTCTTATTTATAAATGGCAATGTTACCAAAGAATCCATGACTCCTCTTCCGTTTGATAATTATAATAAGAAGGATAACAGCAACAGCTACAACTACTACCATCGTAGCAGCCATTCCTCTTAGCAAATTTGCCTAAAGAATGATTAATAATAGGAATAAATTAATGGGAATTAATTAAAGATATGTTATATTACAAATATTTAATTAAGCATTGTGTTTCTGTATCAATAATATATAGATATAATTAAATTACCTCAAAATCGTTTTCCCAAACATCTTCCCAATTTTTCTTAACTATTAATTCAACAATATGAACATTAACAGCAGAATGATCGTGTATACCCTTTGAAATACATTTATAAAAACCAGATTCAGCAGTCGATACTCCCTAATTAATTAATTTTTCATTCATAGAATCAATCATATATGCATAAAGTATCATTATAAACATAAAAAAAATTAATAATAATTACCCTAATATAAAGTGTCCCCGTTAACACTTCATAATTGTACTTATTAACATCTAAAGGATTTCCAGGACCAATTACATGTCTATCATCGGTAAGTTGCCAAAACATGAATCGATGTTGATCATCACTACTTAAACATGGAAGTTCAGCTAAATGACCAGCCATAATTTCTTTCACTGTAACTGTAGCTCTAGCAATACCTTTTCTATGGAAAACCATGGTTAAATAGAAAAGTAAAAATATTCGCATGGCCACCTAAAATGAATATCCTTATGTAAAATTATAAATTCAAAATCCTTATTAATATATTTACTCGATAATAGATTTAAATTAATTATTATAATTTCACTTATTTCTAATGCAAGGTATCAGAAAAAAATTAAGATCAAAATGACACAAAACACAATTCTATAATACACATTCAATTAACACTATCAGAACATATACTATAATATTAATAAATCTTCCATGGCAATTGGAAGGGACAATTATATTCTAATTACACTAATTACACTTCACTATCAGAACTTTGAAAATGAATAAAACTATTTTGCATTAGATACATAAGTAACTGAATAATTATTCTCACGTATAACAACTATGAAAAACACTCATATCAATAAACTATATTATGTAATGTATCAAGAATTGTATTTTTCTTTTTTTTTTTTTTTTTTTTTCTCTTCACAATTTCTCACCATTTTTAATATCTATCAATTAAGTCTTAAACACCTTATATTAAATCACCAGTAAAGAAAAGATAATATGCTGACTTTAAAGAATTATCAATTTCTAGCTTGAGAACTAGCTAAGAAAAGTTTCTATAATGAAGATTGCCACGAAGTTACTTATTTATAACTCTGTTATAGCCATCCTTGTGCAATGGAAAGTATTTATAGTATACCAGATGGCATCTTGTGATTTGTTCAGTTGAAATGTTTGTGAACACAACATTTCAACCATCTATATAAAATAACAATCTATTATCACATTAGATGTCATGCCATTTAGATTGAAGTTCACAATTTATTGTTTATTTCTTCATTTATATTATATTTTGTGCTTTTACAAAAATTCTATTGTTGGATGTTCTTTGATAAGAATAAATAAAAGAAGGAAAATAATAATAATGATAATAATAATAATAATAATAATGATAATAATAATAAAATAATTTTTTTTTTCTTACAAGCAAAAGATTAATTTCTAATAAATATTTCAATAAAATACTTTTCAAGGGTTCATTTAGAAAAAATCAATTAACAATTGTCAGAAATATTTTCAATGTATGAACTATCATATCATGTCCATTGAGATGTGTATAAATATATACATATAAAATTCAATGTTAACTTACATTTTATTAAATGTCCAAGAAAAACTTAAATTCTGGTTATTGTCAGTATCTACAGTGTTTAATTAAATGAATGAAAACGTCCACCGCTAAAATTGGTAGAAGCAACCAGAATGGGGCTAAAACAACTTTGGCAGGTAAAAACCAATATGGTACTTCTAATTTCAAACAAATTAAAATTTGTGCGCTTAACTTCATAAGTACGGCTGTCATATACCATGTCTGAAACAACATAAATTAATTATGGCAATAAGATATTTGATATTTTACTTTTTTTTTTTTTTTTTTTTACAATACTGTAACAAATACTTCTGATAAAGAAAAAGAAAAAAAAATAAACAAATGAATAAATAAAAAAAAGAAAGATTATACATACATATATATATATTTATATATGTATATATGTATATATTTATTTTCTTTTCCTATAATTAATACATACTTCTCTACGTAAACTACTGACTCTTCCGTTTTTACAATAAGAGATCATATTAAAAATGATATAAATAAGTAATATGTTATCGTATAACCACATTGGTATAAACACTATAAACCAATTCCATTGTATTCTTTGATCAAGTCTTAAAACGAGAAGTACCAAAAATATTAACAAAATAAACCATGTAAATAACGCACGGTGTATAAGAGGCATTAAGACGAATGATCGATTTTTATTTTTAACCGTTCAAAATATTTAAATGCAATATATATATATATATACATGTATATATATATATATATATATATATTAGAGAATAAAAAATTATCATTTAAATTCTATTCGACGTAAACAAAAGTAACATATGAGAAAATAAATCAACATTATTCAACTTATCCTATCAGATTGCTGAAATTCGCGATGATCGAAGCGCAATCTGATAGAAAATTTTCAAGTATTAATAATTCATTGTAAATCCGTCAGATGTCGTTACGTTGTACGAATAAACATTCTCGCGGGAATTTTGAAAAGAAAAAAAAAACGTAAACGTGAAAATATTTTCAATAGATCTTCAAATTGAAATCTTTTATGCGAGTGTAAAGAAAGAAAAAAGAAAAAAAGAAAGAAAAAGAAAAAGAAAAAGAAAATCTAATTCAGAAAAGAGCAGCACACGTTACAGATCATAAATATCTTTTATTTTGTTTCATTCGTTGTTTTCCATGAGTCATTTAATTACACGACAGAATAGATTTTTTACATCACGCTATACAATTATAATCCATTCGTTCGACAAATTGTATTCAATTATTAAATTTTTATTAATCGTGATACGATGAAATTCATGAATAAAAAGAAACTATTGTCTCGTGACACCCGTTATATAGATGTCTACGTGAGTAATCGACAATAAATAGTAGTATTTTCTTTCGTCAGTCATTAAATGGACTATCGTCCAGCAGCGAATGTTACGTTTACGTATCGTCATTGTAAATTTAATTTATTAAATCATATTCATTTTCTTACAAGTGAAATTGAATTAAAGGATAATAATCATTATTATCATCATTTTAATCTTTATCCGATTTGTATTTTATTTCTTGTCTTTTTACCTTTCTTTTTTTTTTTTTCTTTTCTAAAAATTTCTTTTTTTTGACAAAATGGATAACATAGATGCAGAAACGAAAACGTATAAGGTAAATCAATGTACGCATATAACCTATCATCATTAACGGGCATATGCATACAATTGATATAAATATATTGTTAAAGTGTCACAATGTCGTTGCATTGGTATTTAAAAAGTAAAAAAAGGAAAGAAAGAAAAATAAACATATAAATATGTGCTGTGTGTGTGTATGTGTAATGTGTGTGTCTAAATAAGTAAGCACGTGCAATTTCTAAAAGAAACCAAGTATATAATGATGACGTGAAAATATATTTAACTTGTTTGTTAGATTAAGTAATCTCCGTTTGTTCGATCGAGTCCAATAAATAATTCGTAACAAATATATAATCGGTCTAATTTAAAGTTGTATAATATTATCGTTGAATACGTAAATGAAATTCATTAACTGATTTATCAAGGATATAAGGTATCAGTATTATGAATATATTTAATTACAATAAAGCTTCAATTAATCGTGTTTAATAAATTAATTACAAATGGAATAAGTAGTGAATATGATAATTGAATTAAGTACGGTAATTTATGATAATTAAATTAATGAGAATCGTATTGATATTAACGAGTAATCGATGACACGATGTTTGTTACAATGTAATAATAATAAAATGGAAAGGAAAGAAAAGAAAAGAAAAAAAAAAAAGAAAAAGAAAGAAAAAAAAAGAAAGAAAGAAAGAAAAAAAAAGAAAAAGAAAGAAAAAAGAGCAAAGGTCTCATTAGAAATTTAAATAAAGGTATTCGCGCCAAGCGACTGTTGCGCCATCTTTTAATCAATATGGCAGCAGCCCGATTCAACAACACACGTCATTCGTATTTTGACCTTAAACGGCGATTAACCTTTTCTCACTGCCACAGTAATAATATTCGTATTAATTGCCACGCAATCAAAATTTTATCGATCTAAAGAAAAAAAGGACTATAGGGAGAGAGGGTGAGAGAAAAAGAAAGAAGAGAGAGAGAGAGAGAGAAATATAAAGAGGGAGAAAGAAAGAGAGAGAGAGAACGAGAGAACGAGAGAGAGAGAGAGAGAGAGAGAGAGAGAGAGAGAGAGAGGGAAAGAGAAAAAGAGAGAAAGAGAGAGAATGAGAATAAATGTAAAGATCTTGAGAGGAGATTAATTAGTTGATCATTCTCATCAAGAAGAAGTCGATACGATCATGACGATTGAAAATTCGCACGAGGTTATTACTGCGCCAAAATGGATTCAGGTGCGTAGAATAGGATCGAAAGAAAGAAAGAAAAAAAAAAAGAAATAGATAAAGAGACGTATAGAATAAGACAGGGAAAGAGATAGAGAGAGAGAGATAGAGAGAGAGAGAGAGAGAGAGAGAAAAAGTTAAAGAAAAAAAAGAGAGAAAAACGAACGAATAATTCGAAGCTCGCGCTATCCCGTCCATTAATACGATCTATAAATAATGGCCGACGTGTAGAAACCGTTCTTAGATCGAGGGTAACGGATTCTATTTTAAAGGGTTAGCGCCCCGTTGTGACCCTTCGTGTCGACTATTCGCGCATCAGAAATTGCTGTTTGTCTTTCTACACCTTTCTCTCTCTCTCTCTCTCTCTCTCTCTTTTTCTATCTCTCTCTCTCTCTCTCTCTTTATCTCTCTCTTTCCCTCTCTCTCTCTCTCTCTCTTTCTCTCTCATTCTTCGTCTATCTTCGTTCCTTTTCTATGACGTACTACTGAAATTTAGAATACGTTTGATCTCTTTGAATTTCGTTCGTATCTCCGCAGTAAAGTGTAACTCTCTCTCTCTCTCTCTCTCTCTCTCTCTCTCTTTCTCTTTGATTTTTTCTTTATCTTTTTTCATTCAACTGTATTATTTTCTTCTATCCATTTTGCTCATCCCCACTCCTTTTCATTTTCATTTCCATCGATATAAATTTTAACGAGGAAATTTCCTTCTATCTTGACCTTCCTCTCGATCGTTTCAACCGTACGATATATATATATATATA